CAACCCCAAGCTATCTTTGAAGTATATTGGCAGGACACAGAGAAAGATTACACAACTTTCTTTATCTCTGTAAATGACCATTATATATAAAAAAAAACACCCACTATGTTTGTTCTTCCCCAGATAGCTTCCAAAGTTTAAATATCATTTGAATTACATAACAGTAATATGAACTTTTACCCTAGTTTCATGAAGCCAAGAAGATTAAGTAGAAGAAATTAAATTCCATTCTTTTGTGTAACAGTTTTGAAATAATTTAAAATTATTGACTTATTTTCTTAAATAAAAGGCCAGTAATTCCATCTTTACCTTTGAATGGAAGTAATAAAGCATACCTGATAAATAGAAATTGTTTCCTTCATTCCTTATATCTCATCTAAGAAATCCAACCAACAAAAAAAACTATTCTGTCCTGGGTATGATGATAAACTACATCCATGTCCAGGGTAAGATGTCCAACAGCAAGGCCTCTGATCAATAGGATTTGAGGAGTGTGGAACCACCTCTTAATTGCTGATGTTCCCAGGTCCACCCTGACCCGGAGTGGTAGCACCTGTTAGGGTCCCAGCTATAGGCAAATAGTTAACCCTGAAACTGGGGTAAAAAGCATTTTAAAAGTGTGAAGATAGGTCTTAATACCAGAAATACTTCATAAAAAATTATTACCAGAAATAAATTTATGAAGAAAAAAAAATATTACCAGCAATATGTTTTTGAAAAAATGTATGTATATTTAACTCCTCTTTTTAAAACTTCTCTCTGTTAAATTTTAATCCACACCTTCACGTTTAAGCCTTCCTGTTTCTTCAATTACACCCTCTCTCTAGAACTTTTCCCTCTCACACTTGTTTCCCACTCCCGCACAAACACTCTCACTAAAATTTTGTTTTTTATACCCAGAGTTATATTTTCTGATTTCTTTTTGAATTTGTAGGTCTGATGAATTGGATCGTGATTACGATTCCAATGTAATAAATTATAACCATGGAATATTAGTGTTTGAGCCTTTTATATATATATATATATATATATATAATTGACTCTCCCGTCGCGTTCGACGTATGAGGGTCAGGCCGATAAGTCCCCAGGAAACTGACATCCCGACACCGGCACATGAGATTTGATTATAATGGTGAAGGCCTCGTGCAGGACCAGCCACACTTTTTGGAGGGACGAATACAGAAACCTGGTGCACCGAATGCATGCCACAAGGTTCCCAAACGACACTCCACAGGTTTTGAATTCAGAGTTGTCCTTCTCCTAAACCAGTTGCCATCCAAGGCTATAGAACCCAGTCTGTCCTGCTATTTTACCCATAGCTGGAGGGAGATGAAGAGGATACATACCTTTCCCAAGGGTATTAGCACGTAAGTGAATGTAGTGGATTCGACTGGAATTGAACTTCGGCTCTCGATTCCTCAATCCAAGCCGCTATCCACTGCTCCACCGTGCCTCCTTCCTGTATGTATATATATATTATAACTGTACTATATATATATATATATATAGTATATATATATATATATATATATATATATATATATATATATATATATAATCCACTGGATCCTAGTAATATAAAATATTAAAACTGATCCATAAAAACAGCTCAATGTATTTATTATAACAGACCAAATAAATAGTAGTACACAACAAAAAAAATAAATTACAAATTTAAACTTCTATAATATATATATATATATATGTATAACTATTTCTAATTTGTATATTTCCATTTTTTCACCATATTAATTGTTCTTTGTTCTAAGAAATCTCTTTCCTTTTATCACTGATACCTCTTTATCTATATATATTTTTTATTTTTTTTAGGTTTTTTAAATATAATATTTTATGTTATTTTTATATAGCTTGATTTAACTTATATTTAAATTTAAAAACGGATAATTTATTTTATCTTATTACATTTTTATTTTTAACTATATTTTTTATTTTTTATATAATTTTTTTATAAATATATTCTTACTTAAATTTAATATAATGTTGTAATGTGTTTTTTTTAGAAAAAAATATTATGCTTTATTTTCCATAATTTTACTACACGGGTTTCTGGTCTCATGACCATCTTCAGGTAAAAATGGAGATTTCCACATATTATTAAAAATAATTATTAAAAATAATTAATTTTTTCCTTATGCTTTTCAATGTTAAACATTCTTTGTTTTTATGTTAGTAATCCAAATGTCTTTCTTGAATTGGCAATGAAGAATTCTGCGCAAAGGGTCATAAAACACAAGACCAGAAACACATGTAGTAAAATTATGGAAAATAAAGCATAATATCTTTTTCTAAAAAAAACACATTACAACCAAAAACATTTGCGGCACCTCTCTTCTCTTCTTTTTAATATACATACTTTTCTCTCGTTAAAACCACTACAACCTCTTTCTTTTATATATATATATATATATATATATATATATATATATATATATAATTGTGTATTTGGGCAGCAATCATTCTTTTATTCAAGTTTAATTAAAAACAACTGACAAGGTACTGCAGTTAAATTTTTTATTAAATTTTTCTTGTGTTTTTATAATTTTCTTCTTTTCTGGACATAGATTATGTAGAAATTCTCCAAATGTTGTGTATGTCCAAGTGCTTTGGGCTATACTTTAACCATTATCATATACATATATATATATATACACACACACACACATACACACACACACACACACACACACACACACACACACACATATATATATATACATAGAGAGAGAGAGAGAAATAGGAAGGGAAGAGAGAGAGATAATGTAATGTTGATAGATATAAGTTACTCATTAATCATCAGAAGCAGTTATTCACCTTGATGGATAGAATCAGGTATGAATAAATCTACCACCTATGTTGACAGATTAATCAGTTAAGATCAATAGAAGTTAGGGAATGAAAAATGTTCCATGTCCAATCAAACATCAATAAAAAATATATACCTTTCAAGAATCGTTTGGGGCCACTGAGCAATACCTTTTTGTTGCTTTTGCTGCTAACACAATTTTTGGGACACATTTACTCTACAGCTGTTTGATCTTTCAGGAAGGAGAGAGGTTTCCATTCAAAGACAAAGTAGCAAACAGAAAAAATGGTAGCAAATGAAAAAGGGACAATAATAAGGGATGGATTAAATCAAGTAATAAAATAATAATTGTAAAAAAATGTTATCTAAAAAGTAGCAATAATAAAATGGAATAAAACTAGTAACAATAATAATAATAATAATAATCATAATAATAAGGAAAAGGTTTAATCAAAAAATTAACAATAAGCAACAACAGTTGTAGCAAATCTTGTAATAATAATAATAATAATAATAATGTAAAAAGAAACATAAACATTTAAGCTTGTCATGAAGGTTCATTCAGTGCAATTTGCCTACTGCTCGTAACTGAGGTTCAACCATTTCTTTTATAGTCTAGTAGTTCAACAGGGGAGACAACTATGGTTGCCTTCACCACAAATAATAAGGAAAATGCTTCATTTAAAAGCAATCTATCTTCTAAATAAATAAACGGTAAATTCTGTCTACACATCTGTGTGTCTGAAACCCCCTCTAACTCAGGTCACACTGGCTTTACATAGACATATTATATCTTTTTGGAATCAGGATGATTCCAGGATTAAAAATCTGCCCTTGATCTGGTGCTTGAATATCCAGCATTGAAATTTGTGTCCAGATGAGGATGGAACAATTAAAAATTCAAATTTTAAAATAACTGAAAAAAAATTAGTGATTTTGAAAGTTTTTAATTTATATTGAGTTTTCAGTAACACAAAAACTTTGTGAATTTAAAAGATTTTGTTTTAAATTCAGTTTAAAATATCTCCAAAACTTTGTGAATTGAAGAAATCATTTTATTTCTTCAAAATGCCAAGGAATCAGAATTAAAGTGAGAGGTTTTGTGATGTGAGGTTTTGAAGTTTTGAGTTGAAGAACTCATCTCAGTTGAAGTTCCACAGAGTTTGTGATTTAAATAACTCAATTTTTAACCTGAACTGGAATTTCAGCCTAAATCAGAGTTTGAGCCCAGATCAGAGTTTGGGCCCAGATCAAAGTTTTGCCCCAGATCAGAGTTTTCTGTATAAGATAATACAGGTTCTTTCCATCATGGCTAATCCCTGATAATGACTAAACTTTGAATTACAGTTTTTAATTCAGTAACAGCTCTTATATTGAAAATATCTACTTATTTATGTTGTAAATGCTAAATAGTATCATTAATGAGAAATTCAGGAACTTTACACTGTCCACATTTTGTTGATATCTTGAGAGAATGAGAGGCTGAGAAGTTCTCTGGAATGAGTTTAGACAATATTTGTCTATATCTCTGAGATGAGGTATTGTAATTATTTACATTATTTACATTTGTTTGAACTGTTGTCTTTATCTTTATTGCCATATTCAAGGACACATGACCCAGTGGATAAAAGCATTGGTTGGATCCAGTGACTTGACCCAAAGAGTTGTGAGTTCAATACCTGGCTATTGCAGTAGTAAATAAAAACTTGGAGGGTTGAGTTAAAGGGAGATAACTGAGACACATGGAAGAAGCATGGCATGTGAAACTAGAACAATCTACCCCCAGTGGATGAAATAAAGGGTTCAGTTCAAAATTCCAATCACCGGAAGTAGACCTGACCGTACAACAGCCAAAATGTCATGAATATGACAATAAAGATAAGGATAATAGTCCAAACAATGTAAATAATGTTATTAATGAGTTTAGACAATATCAGACATTCAGAAATATTCCTGAATGTGTAAAAAAGAAGGTTCGTTTCAATTGGGCAACCTGTCTTTTAAAGAATAAGTGAAATGTTGTTTTATTGGTTTAAGATCATTAGAAGAAATAGTTAACAAATAAAATATTATAAAAATTTTTCAAGAGGCTTTTCAGAGTTCTATTCTAAAATGTTTTAGTCTCAGATGTTACTACAAGTGATAATGCCTTCAAAAGAAAAATAAACAAATTGTGATGCTCTCTCTTTTCATGCCCACTCTTTTTGGTAATGCTTTCTTTTTTGTTTTTTCCCCTTTTTTGAGGCATTATCTCTCTGTTGGTTTCTTCTTTGTTGGTCCTTTTCTTTTGATGTTCCTTCTCTTTTAAACCCCCTTTTCATTTTTAGTGTCCCCTTTTCACTTTTAGTGTCCCCTTTTCACTTTTGGTGCACTTTTCTCTTTTAATGCACCCCACTTTTTAAAAGCCCCCTGTCTCTTTTTGTGTCTCCTTTTCTTTTTTCGTGCCCCCTTTCTCTTTTGGTGCCCCCTTTCTCTTTTGGTGATTACTTTGCTTAATGGTTATGTGGCTCTGAGTTAATAATTTCATACTTTCCTTCACTAAATCTTTAGATTTAGTAAAGGAAATACTCTATATGTAAATGTAACCACTTTATTAAAAGATGTGTCATATAATGTTTAATGTGTATAACATATGTAACATACTATGTAACATATGTTGCACAATGTCTAACATTATATATATCATGATCCATAACATTATATGCAACATAATATGTAACATGTAACATCACACTTGTATTAATCTGTTAATTTGTGTATAAATTTTAATGTAAAAAATTCCACAATTTAAGAAATAAATCTTATGTTTTAATTTATCTTTTTAAATTTAAAAGTCAAAAGGATAGGAAGTTGGGGAGAGCTTTAAGCGCCCATCTGCTGAAGGGACATGGCACATAAAAGTAGAATCAAAGAACTGAATTCAAATCTCACCTTGTCTCTTGCATTGACTTTTGCTTAAATAACCTTGGAAAATATATAAATCTACTTCTCCTACTCCTCAAGAGAAATAGCAGGGTAGACTTGACTCTTCAAGGCAATGATAAATCACTTTACTATCTTTTTCAATTCATACATATTAAAGAAAAGGAATGTGTGGAGAGCCATGATCTGGTAAAGTAAATAGATAGCTGCACATAATTTTTGAATTACCAGTTGCACAGCTGATGATGATCTCAGAAAGAGATCAATAGTAGTTGGGAAATAAAAGTGATTTCTGCTGTTACAGTGCATTTCTTGCTTCCTTTAATTGTTATATATGGAAAAATATTCATGAATATGAAAGGATTATGATAAAAATAAGCAGACATAACTTTTGAAATTTATTCAATCAGACATGCCTAAAAAAGAATATAGAAGTATATAAACAATAGAAAGTATATACAAACAAATAAACTATATAAAAACAATATAAACTGTACTGTGGTAATAAAATAAGCACATCCCATCTCCCCTCTTGCTTGTAACCATCCACTATAATAAAATAAACATTTTCTGTGCTAAAGTTGAATTAGTCAAATAAAGCTTCTACTTAGAGTTATTGCTATATTGCAGGAATTGAAAAAAAAGTGTTCTTCAGTAACACAAATTGCTAGAAGTATTAGTTCTGTCTATAGAAATAAAGCCTTCCATGTCGGAACATGTCAGCAATTGCTTTGTCTGTTTTGATCGCCGATTTTTTTTTCTGTTGAAGATACCCTTCAATCTGGATGATCAATTTTTGGTCCGTGCTAAGCTTCTCAAGACTGTAGTTGAGGAAAATCCTAAGCAAACCGCACGATAAATAACAAAGTTCAAGACAAGTTATGCTTCTATCATAAAACAATTTCATGAAAAAGTGTTAAATTATGATCAATGACTCTGTGGCAATAAAAGAAGCACATCCTATTTACCATCTCACTTGCAACGATCCATCACAATAAAATAAACATTTTTCAGCACTAAAGTAGAATGAATCAAATAAAGCTTAATAAAGCTTCTACTTAGAGTTGTTACTATATTACATATATATAAACTATACAGATAGCATATAAAGAATACCAATTGAATATTGATAATAAAAAGTAGTTTATAAACAATATAAACTATATAATAACATTATAAATAATATATAAACAATATATACTCGATATGAAACAGTATATAATCAACCAAACTGTATAAACAATTCAAACCTTATATAAACTATATAAACTGTATTTGGTCAATATAAATCATATATAAACAATACAAATTTATATATTATACTATATATAAAAATACAAACTGTATATATAAACAATATATACTATATATAAAAGTACAAACTTTATATATAGACAATATATACCATATATAAAAATACAAAATATTTTATAAACAATATATGCAGTATAATAGCAATATAAAATTTATATAAACAAAATAGGCATTATACAAACAATATAAGTTGTATACAACTAATATAATTTTATATAAACAATATCAACCATATAAAAAAATATAAAAATAGTATATAAATTATAATGGCTGACCACTCGTATCTGAGTATGCCTGTCATCTAGGGGTCCAGTGTTGCAGATGCTTGCTCAGACACAGTTGTGTTTGTTCAACACCCAAAGCCCATTTATCGTTTATAGTGCAACTATTCTGTGCAGACCTTAGTTACAGTTTCTGGGAGAAAGCACATTTTCAAGTATAATCAACTGTCTGAACAAGGCTAGTATACTCAAACTCTGAGTCACGATGATTTGAGACATTGTGCTAGCACAGCCATTGACAACTCCCTAATAGTTCCATCTCCCCAATTTCAATCACAATGCTCGAGTCAACCCATCATATGGTTTTCAGGCACTTTTCTAAGGTGCTGCATCCTGGGATTGCTCTCCCCAGTTTGATAAAATCAAGAAGTCAACTTCCTGTCAAATTGACCCAGGTGAGATTCAAACCTAGCTCTCATGCTTGGAAAGTGAATATTCTAACTATTCAGCCATGTGCCCATAAGTATATAAACTTTGTAAGAGATTGTTAGAGTATAAAAACTATATACATAATATATAAACAGTCTATAATAATATAATGTGTATACAAACACTATATAGATAGTATATAACTTTTGCTGTTTTGCATACTTATCTGAGTAACTTTCTTATTATCTATGTTTATTTCACAGATTAGTTTTTTTTTAGAATTGCCTGTATTGTATACTGATGTCATTATGTGCCATCAAACCTTCATTAATAGCTAAGAAAAAATCAATAAATACTTCCTTTGTTTTTCTTTCATTTTTTTTTGTAACAACATGTAAAAGAAACAGTAACCTGTTAATTATAAAATTGTGCTGAATATCTTCAATGGTTTTTTTCTCAAATCTACAATGCCAAATTGTCAATAGAAGTGTTTCTATGATCTGAACAAACTGACCACTTAACAATGGACCTGAATCAGTTTAAATTATTTAAGTGATTAACATAGGTTTTTACTGCACATACTTTTATTTTTAAAATGAAGAAAAAAATATTGGCCTCTTATTTACAAAGTGATAATTAAATAACTACATTTAAAAGAAAAAGAACTGAATGAAGTAGATAAAATAAACCGGATCTATAAATACCATGGTAAGGGCCTTTGGAAAGTTTAATTAGGGTAAATATCTGTAATTAATGAATGAAGACCCAAACACGACAGATCGAGCTGATAAGAAGGCTTCATTCAATAAAGGCTTTTTATTTTGCTATTTGTTGGTTAATTCTTAAAGCTGAATTATGGGATGCCATGAATAATGGCTGTTTCCCAAGTTAGCATCATCCTAGAAATCACTGTTTTCATTATGGAGATGAAGCTCATTCTATATTACCTTTTTAAAATTTTTTGAATATTCACAGTAGTTATAAAATGGTGTACAAAATAAACAAAGCTTCATATAACAACACGAACAAAATTATTTTTAAATTATTATATGTCCCTTCAGGAGGCCAATAGTCATGAACCTCCTTGGATTTTCTTCATCATTATTAAAGAATTGTCATACATGTTTTTTAGAAAGATAATATAGTGATTTCCTGTTGACTTCTTCATGATTTGAAATTCAAAATTTTTCTTTACTTGGTTGCCAATTGGAGCTAGAGATCCCAGTCTACTTTGCTTCGTTTTCCTTCTCTTAAATTGGTTACCAACCAAGGCTAAAAATGTCAAGTGTATCCTGCTAGTTAACTCATAGCTGAGCAAGGACAATGGAGAAGTTTCCCATAATTTCTTCACAATTTGGAATTCAGAGTTTTCCTTCTCTTAGACTGATTGCCAACCAAGGCTAAAGAGATTCCTTCTCATTTCCTGTGTATTTCAAATATAAGAACAAAGTTTAACTCAGTTTTTCTCAAGACCTGCTTACCTTGTGGAACAGGCTCCTGGTTCACTCATTATCTATCCTACATATCACTACAATTCATATGTCCATAAAACAACAACATTTAGTAACTTGAGTTTCACACCACTCATCTTGGTTACCATGGGTACTTGTGGAACTTGCAAGGTTTCTCTACACTATCATTCTAAAAAAAAATCTCACAAGGATGTAAGAGATGCTCATTTTCTTCCTTCTTGGGTGGGTGCTCATATATCTACCTGTCATTCAATTTGTCTCACATGTGCATATTATAGTGACTGCTGTGTCAGCCATGTATGTATATCTGAGGGAAAGGCACTGCCATCTAATGAAGGTGTAAATCTACACTTTATTGGCTTGGGGAATCATTTCAAAGGTTAATTGCTGATGAACCTGGCTTCTCTAATAGACACTAACTGCAAAATCTATTTTTGGCATTATTTCAAGTGAGTCCTAAATGACACCATATTGGATTTCAAAATCTGCATGCTGGAAGTTGGCAAACCATTCTGTCACAGTCAATAGATTCTTTTCTTCCAATATTTGCATTTTATACTCATGGATTTTCCTTGTAGTTTTCTCATGTAAGAACATGAACTTTTTTCATTTGTCGACAACTGGGAGAGGACGCTCAATTTTTGCATATCAAAATACTTTTTTATTGCGACTCCTGTGACTGATTTCTTTCTAAAATATTCCGTCTTTAGCATGTCATGCAGAATACGCCCTTTTTTTGGTAAGTAATTTTCTTTTTCACCACATTTTCCATCATAGGATACACGCAACACACTTTCACTTGGTTTGACGACATAAATTGCCGTTTTCTTTGCTATAAGATCCTGAAAATTAGCACTTCACAATATAAGAGAGCACTTTTCCATTCACAGTGGCAAAATAATGCTCAAATTTTGGCAAGTGTGTACTTTTCAGTAGCTCACCATAATAAGAAAAAAATTATTAGGATCCACATCATCTCAAAGTGAGACATGATAATCATAAGTATTTTTTTTTATCATTTTACCCCAAGCAAGGCAATAAAGCCACTAACATGCAGGGGGTTACTGAATGTTAGAGAATATGAGAAAAACTACTATTAAGGAGAGAGGACAATAAAAGAACATGAGTTAAGAAGACAGTAGATAACAATTGACATTTAAATTTTTGAAGATCACAGTTGACTGGGAAGCAAGAAGCTAGAAGAGATTTCCAGAAACAAGAAGTGTGAGAAAAGAAACTATTAGCATAGAACTTGCAGTTACAACTAGCCATTTCAACTGTAAAAAGCTGAGGCCTAACTGCCAATCTAGTACTGCACTTAAATTCATAAAGTCTACGTGCCATAGAGGAAAGATCATCAGAACAATTACCATGAAAGTATTTATAGAAAAGGCACAAGGTAAGTGACTGAAAGCAAGATGCCAGGTCAGAACCAATAACATTGCAGATTTTTCTTTGGATTTTATCAAGAATCTCTAAGCATGAGTAGCAGATCTGATGTTGCAGCAGCAGTGATAATTATTATCAGGAAGGGAAAATCATAATCACAAATTAAAAAAAGATTGATTAATAATGATAATAATTAACTCATTTATTTTTTCAGACTTTGTTGTATTTTTTCTGAGGATATTCCTTATAATTTATCTCCCGTTTCTTGGCGTATCTTGAACGGTTTCTTATCACAAGAGGCAGGTTTTGTTTTGTCTATTTTCTAACATTTTTGCCTTTAACTGAAATTGAATCATATTTTTTTATCATTTCTTAATTAATGTTTTCCGTATTCCTTCATAAGATCAAGATGGAGAATTTTCTAACAAAAAATGAAATAGATATCTTCCTTCTTATTTTTCCTTAATCATTGTTTCTTTCCCTTTGTTTTTTACCTACCTTTCTTCTTTCTTTCCTACTTTTTTACTTTCCTACATTTTTTTTTCTTCACTTCCTTCCTTCTTTTTTCTTTCTTTTTAATTTTTCCTGTCTGTCTTTCATTTTTCCTTTTATTTTTCTTCATTCTTTTTCATTTCTTCTTTTTTCCTTCTTACTTTCATTTTGCTTCCTTTCTTTACTCTTCTTTCTTTCATTTCTTTTTACTTCCTTCTTTTTTCCTCCTTTCTCCCTCTTATTTTGTTTATCCTTTCTTTTTCCTTTCATATTCAATTTTTCCTTTCTTTTATTCCTTTCTCTTTTTTTCTCCCAATTTTCTTTTCCTACCCTCTTTTCATTTCTCTTTCTTTGGTTTTATCTTTCTTTTTCCATCTTTTTTTCTTTCTTTTTTCCTTTTTTTTCTTTCTCCTATCAACCTTTTGATGTAGACTTTCCATTCATCCTATTTTCCCATCTTATTTCTTTTCTTCCTATCTGTTTTTTCATAAGTTCTTTTTTCTTTCATTTTTTCCTTCATCAGTTTTGTTTTGTTTTTCTTTTCTTATTTTTCTATCATCCTTTTCTCATACAGTGTATCTCAGTTTCTTCTTTTACCCTCTTTTACATCAACCTCTTTTTCTCTTTCTTCTCTTTTCTTCCCTTCTGTCTACATTTACATTCTTTTCTTCATTTCCTTCATTCTTTCTTCTTATTTGTTCTTTCCTTCCTTTCTTCCTTTAGTTTCTTCTTTCATTTTTTTATTCTTCTATGTTTTCTTTCTTTTTTCTTTTCCTTTTTTTCTATATCCGACCACCATTTCTTTCTCTCCCTTATTGTATGTTTGTTCATTTCTTACTTTTCTTCTTTTTTCCTTGTTTCTCTGTTTCTATCAACCTTTTTTCATACATACTTATTCTATTCTGTCTTTCTGTCTTTCCTTCTTTTCCTCAATACTGTTCATCTCTTCCTCCTTTTCTTGTGTAGTGCTGCTTTATTCTTCACTTCTTTCTTTTTGCTTTTTTCTTTTTCAGATGTCCCCTCCATTCCTTCTTTCTTTTCCTCTATCATTTTCTTTTGTTCTTTTCTTTTCTGTCTTTCTTCTCTTCTTTCATGTTTATTCACTTCTCCCCTTTTTCTTCCTTTCTTCTTTTCTATCAATCTTTTCTTATATTTTTCTTCTTTTTCTTTCTTTTCCGCTCACCTTTTTCTTGCTTTTCATTTTCTTATTTCTTAATTTTCTTTCTTCCCTTCCTTTCTTCATTTCCTATCTCTTTCTTCCCTCCTTTTCTCCTACTTTCTTCTCACTTCTTACAATTTTCCTTCTTTCTTTTCTTCATGTCAGAACACTTACTATTTTTTTCTTCAACTTTTTCTCATGCAGAATTTCTCCTTTTCTCCTTCTTTTTCTTTCAAATAACTTTTTCTTTCCTTTACCTATCCTTCTTTTATTCTGTTTTATTTTTTTTATCTTTCTTTACTTATTTTCTTCTCATATTGTTCTTTCCCTTTACACTTTTTCTTTCTTTCTTTCTTTCTTTCTTTCTTTCTTTCTTTCTTTCTTTCTTTCTTTCTTTCTTTCTTTCTTGCTTGCTTGCTTTCTTTCTTGCTTTTTTTCTTTCTTCTTCATCACTTCATCTCTTTCTTTTTGCTAATTCCATTTTTATATTCTTCTGTCCTCCTTTTTGCTTTCTTTTATACCTCTTTTATTTCATCTACTTTATTACTTTTCCTTTCTTTTTTCCTTTCTTTTTCCTTTATTTTATGCACCCTTTATTACTTTTCCTCTTCCTTCCTTCCTTCCTTCCTTCCTTCCTTCCTTCCTTCCTTCCTTCCTTCCTTCCTAAGCCTTATTTCCTTTCTTCTTCCATTCCTTCCTTCCTTCCTTCCTTCCTTCCTTCCTTCCTTAGCCTTATTTCCTTCCTTCTTCCATTCCTTCCTTCCTTCCTTCCTTCCACCCTCCTTCCTTCCTTCCTTCCTTCCTTCCTTCCTTGTTGCTATTTATTTTTCTACCATTCTTTTTTTTCTTCCTTCATTCTCTGTTTTCTCTCTCTTCTTTCTTTCTTTCTTTCTTTCTTTTTTCCCCTCTCCCTTCCTTTCTGTCTCACTTTCAGGTTCTGCATGGGAAGACATGGTTTTAAAGATGGTTTTTGTATGTATTCTTCTATGGGTATTTTTGTTTGCTTTCATATTGTTTGTTACTGTTGCAAAAAGGATAGTTTTTGCTGATAACATAGATCAATTGCCAAATGACATAAGTGCTGCCATCTTTGTTTCTTTGCACTTTGGCGTCTTTGAAGGGAACAGGAGGAAATGAATGGTTATAACAAAAAATAAAAATGCATAAATAAAATAAAACCAAAATAAATAATAATATAAACACTAAAAAGACAACAACAACAAAAACAATAATGATAACAACTGATAATACTTGTGAAAATTTTACAGTTTTCCTATTTGAATTTTTTATGAATCATAATTCTTCAGTTAATGATTGAATAAGCTTCTTGCAAGTTCCACAAGCATGAACTATCAATGGAAATTTCCTTATCACATCATTAAATATTTGAGATCAACAAAATATTTCAATAACAATTATAAATATTAATGCAGGCATTTATTTAAAGAAGAGGCTACAAATGAAAATATTTCAAATTGAAAAATTTTTCTATTTCACTGAAGCAGACATTAAACGCATGAGAGCCTTATCATCTGCTCTAGCTTCTCTTTCTTTCATTTTCACTGAAACCAAAGATCATCTCTGATATGCCTTTTCCAATTTTCCTCAACATCAAAATGGAATACTTCATTATTCATGAGATATTGGCAGGGTGTAATGCATGTGTTAAGAAACAAGCAGAACAATATTCTAATAAAGTTTTCTTTATAGTTTGTTTATTTTACTAAATCTTAATTCATATAGATTTTTTATGTTTTCCTTCACAAACACTCTGTCAGTTAAGTGCCACATTTGATACACACTTAGGCAATCATTGCTCTTTGATTTATGACTGACGATGCAGAAGATTTTCCCACTATAGTTTATTGTTTCTTTCTGCAGTAGACTGATTGCCAACCAAGGCTCTAGGACCCAGTCTGTCCTGCTATTGAACTCAGCTGGGGGGAGAAGGGATGGATTCATACCTTTCTCAAGACTATTTGCATGCAAGAAAATAAATAAATAAATATCCCAATACAAACTTATATCTGAGATATACACATACATTTGATGGAAATATGCATGGAATACTGTTGCCATATATTGTCTGGTACCCCCGCTGTTCATCTTGAGTTTCTCAACAAAATCCAAAGACAGATATGCAATGTGACCAGTCCTGACTTGAGGTCTCGACTCCAGTCACTTTCTCACCAATGTAATGTGGCTTCCCTCTAACTTTTCTATAAATATTTTTAATGGTATCTTCTCTGACGTGCTATTTTCATTGGTGCCCCAACTGCATGAATTTAAGCGTGCTACTAGGTTGGCATCTTGTTCCCACCCTTTTACTGTAGAAACAGTACTTCTCTCATACTTCCCAACAGTGGAACTTCCTTCCTCTTAATTGCTTCCTTGATAACTATAATCTTCAAAAATTTAAATGTAATGTCAATCGACATCTTCTGTGGCCTTGATCCCCATTCTTCTTTTTATCCTCCTCTGTTCTTCTTTTTATCCTTTTCGAATCCCCCTCCCCTATACCCATTCTTTTCCCTTACTCTGTAGTCCCTTGCATACTAGTGGCACTCCTACCTTGCTTGGGGTGAATTGATTAAAAGAAAAAAAGAAAATTAAAAAGAAAATGGAGGTTATTTTAAACCTGGAGGTCATTATTTAAAGAAGTAAGAGGGTACAAATAAAAAGATTTGAAATTAAGTGTTATTGTCTCCTCTAGCTTCCCTTTCTTTCTTTCTTTTCCCTTGTCCTTTCTCTAAAACCAAACAGCACCTTTGTTATATCTTTTATTCTGTCTATCCTCACAATTAAACAAAAATGTCCAATTGTTTACCTGCTATAATGGCAGTGCATAACATACATGCTAAGTAAGAAACAAGCAAAATTATGTATATGCTAATAATATTGAGGAATTTAGATTAATAGATTGACAGACTAGGAAAGTCAAAGATGATACAGAGAGATTATAAGTGAAAAGCAAAGAAGCCAACAAAAGATTCATCAACATTGAAGACTATTTCAGTTGCCTAAATGAAACCAGATAAATAAATATAACAATGCAATGAAATAATTATAAAAATAATTACAATATTGATACAAGAAATTAATAAAAAACATTGCAAACATGTGAAGAGTCTAGAAGCCAACAAGGTTTGCCTATCGCCCGGTTTACACTCTTCCCCAGGCTCTTGAACAGGAGTAGAGATTTATCCCTTATTTTCTGTTTAGGATTAGGTTTCTAAAGTCCTCTCATTCTCTTTCATTCCCAGTATCCCTTTGCATCTTAGTAGCATTATTGCCTTGCTTGGGATGAATTGATTAAAAAAAAACAAGAAAAAATAGTAAAAGAATATATTGTACAGAGAAGTTAAAAAACAGATTAAAAATATTTACAAAAATCATGGGCTTGGCTATATTTTATATATATATTACACACACACACACATATATATATATATATATATATATATATGACAGAACTAAAAAAAGAAATTTAAATTTAAAAACTTTGAAATTCTCAACACCCCCTCTCCTTCATTTGGATATGGAATCACATCAACATAAACCTCACTTTAGTCCAATGAAGTCGTAAAGGATGAAATGTAACAAACAAAATTTTTTTTACCCTTTGTCATTAATTTTCCATACATGTTACTTTTTATTAATTCAAACATTATTAAACTGTTTATTTCATCCACTAGGCTACACATGTGACAAAACATTACAGGAGTAACGAGTGTCTGATCCAGCATTCTTTGACTACTCGGCCATGGAGATATTCATAGCCAAGTAAAGTTCTAACTGCCTTAAAGTATATTCACACATTCAGATGTTTTAGAAGCCATATCTAAACAGTTTTGTATCTGAAATATAAAAAAATCAATTTCTAAAGAATCAATGAATTTTTTTTAATCCAACATGAACACAAGGTCTGACCAAAATTAACGATAAAAAATAAATGAAAACTACAGATAAAGTTTGTTTTCTTCAGAAAGTCATTCATTCCTGTAGTTAACTGCTACTAACAAACATGATTTTTTTTTATCTCCTGATGATGACCATGCTGGCTGAAACTAGTCGAGGAACCTAAGTGAAATAATAAAACAAAAAATATTAATAAACAACCCAGTATGTCTGAAGATTTTAATTTTTTAATATTTGTTATTGTTCAAAACATATATATATATATATATATATATATATATATATTCATATATATATATATATATATATATATATATATATATATATATATATATATATATATGTGTGTGTGTGTGTGTGTGTTTTTTATGAATACCTTTATATATATATATATATATATATATATTCAAAAGAACAAGTAATCTCCCTTTAATATGAAAATAAAAAATAAATTTATTTTTTTAATATATATATATATATATATATATATATATATATATATATATATATATATATACAAATCCCATTTATTTTAAATGACAAATGTAATTTTTTAAGTTAAAAACTGTAATCCCAGTATAATATATAATTGCAAAAACCAGTATTTTTTAAAATTTAAATTACATAATGGTCAGTCTATACTCAGCACCTAAAGATTGCATTGTGCATGACACTCTGAGTTGTGTTATCGGGTGAGGGATAATATGTATATTTATTTATATATACCTAATAGCTCTGTTATATTACAGCAAGCACTGTTTTATTAACACCAGCACTATATGTAAGATATGTATATATATATATATATATATATATATATATATATATATATATATTGTGTGTATTTAGGCAGCATCTCTTCATCCATACACGTTTCATTAAATAATATAGACAAGTGTTGTCTATTTATTTTATATAAATTTTTTTCGTAACATCTGATAAGTTTAATAACATTATCGTTGAACGAAGAAAGAAATTCACAATAGTGATCCTTTTTTTTTTAATACAATCTAAGCTTTCGGCTTACTTAAGCCATTATCAAAGATGTCAATTACAACATATTAAACAATATACGGACAAGACAGTGATGATAGTCTGTCAATGTTTACATAGATGATTCCTAAGCAACGATAAACCCGTGCATATAAGACGCTAGAAGCGAAAATCGCAACGCACCGCATCTCATGACATCACACATGACCACACAAGAGTGAATTGTAGAAGTATGAAAGATGGAAAGCCATGAAAGCAAGTTTGTGGTGTGAACAACATATGTTGGTCACACCACAACCTCACTTTCACGATGCTTGACACTACATTTGAATGAAAACATTTTTAGGCATTTAAAACAACATGCCTGCATACACAATTTCATAAAATACTTGTCGAAAACACAATTATACTTTGACATGAAAACAATAGACAAAAACTAAAAATCCTTGAAGCATTATACATCAAACAGTTGAGACCCAATCTAAACAAAATCAATTATGGCATCTCTACAAATATTCTTAAATGTCTATAATTGGTAACAGAAACCATTGGTTTATACCAATGGCTTTCCATGCCAATCCTTTCCAGTTCTCTAATCATTTTCTTCATGTTAAGATGAAATTCATAAAGTATGCTGTCATGGTATTTTCTAATCCAAGTACAAAATGTACAACATCTAAAAGCACATTCCTGTCCACCTTCACAATACTACACTATGAAAATAATAAACAAAAACTTCAAATTCTCAAGCTCTTTTCTATCAAAATCAATTAACCAACATTCAACAAAATTTATTACGTATATAACAACATATTAAAATGCATATCACATTTATTGCCATTTTGCATTTCTACCAATTTCCAATCAGCTATCTTATACTGTGATGCTTGTTTTGCAAAAGCACAATAGATAAATTTTAAATTTTGAAATAATTATTATTTTTAATCTTTTTAATATGTGTATGAGGTTATTATGCTTGTATTTTCTACTAGTAGTTTTCAGATGGATTCTGGTAGGATTGTGTGTGTGTTTAAATGAGTCCTAATGAAGCTATGGTCAGACAGGGTAACATAAGCCGTCTAGATAGGCATGTAGTAGTGTGAATGATGTAATTATTTATGAGTCTGTTTTGATCAGG